AGATGGATTCTGACGAGAAAACTTTTCTGGCACGACATAATATACACAGATATATTTATTTACTAAGCTTAACTTCCATAACAGCAGTTGTGCGTCTAGGGCAAGAGTATCTGACGGAGGCTGGTTTTCAATTCCGCGTTTTCCTTCTCCGAGATTGGTTACCAACTGAAGGAAAGAGAACCCAGTTTGCCCTGCTATTTAACCCACACGTTTTTTTGTTAATTAATCCACCTGAAGCAAGACGATAATCCCACTAAGACACAAGGGGCTACTGAGGCTGAAAGAAAAAGTTAGTGATGAGAAAGTACAATATCAGAACAGGGTTCAGAAACACAGAAAGATGGAGATTGATTTCAATTTCTTATGGTTGTAGTTGACAGGAAAGCAAGAAACCGTAATAGAGTTCCACAGGCTAGATGTTCGGGCGAAGAAACTACTTTTTCAATCGTTATCACCCTAAGCAAGGCAGTAAAGCCGTCAAGACACAAGGGGTTACAATGTTTGGAAAAATTAAGAACAGAAACATTAATGATGAGTCGAAAGAGAAGAGTAACCAGGAGGACAGTAGATAGCGATTGACATAGCATTTAAATTATTGTAGATTAAAGATGGCTAGAAATCATGGAGCCGGAAGGGATTTCCACAAGCGAGAAGTGCGAGAAAAGAAACTGCTAGCATAGAACCTACGGTTACATCTAGTCAGCTCAACTGTAATTTGATGGGATCTTGACGCGTGTCTAGTACTGCACTTAAATTCGTACGGTCCAGGTGCCATAGCGAAGAGCGATATTTATTTGTAATTATTTACAAAATGTGGCACAAGGCTAAAATGAGGAATAGGGAAAAGGGTGGTCATCATCTATTTTAACTTTAAATTTAGCTAGCCACAAACACTGACCCCAAACATAAAAGCAATATTCCTAACACCCAAACATTCTTACCTTTCTTACTACATTCACCATAATACCTCATTGTCTCTATGAAAATCCTAACTAGTCCCCATATGTACAATTCATTGTGGTGGGAGGGGAATAAAACAACAGTTTAAAAACTAGCCCCAATGAGTATTTACTATATGAAAACAAATCTATTTACAAGAAACTAAATAAAATAATGTGAGTAATAAACCCCCATCCCACCACCACAATCCATAGCGAAAAGCTCATCCGAACAATTACCATGAAAGTATTTACAAAAAGGCATAGAGAAGGCAACCTTACGGCGATGGGAAAGTGACTGAAGCCGAGAAGCCAGATCATAAAATTTACGGTTACAGCTATTAGGTTGGTGCAAAAATAATGTCGTTTTTTGACGTTCAAGTTCAAAAAAGAAAACGACATTATTTTTGCACCAACCTAATATTTCAATAGTAAAATGATGACACCTAGTTTCCAGTCGAGTACTACGTTTAAATTCATGAGGTCGATGTATACAAAGAGAAAAGAAGAGATGGATTCGTACTTTGTCCAAGGGTACTTGTGCGAAAATGAATGCCAAAAACTCAGCCGGAATACGATCACAGTTTTCTGATTTCTCTTTCCGAATTGCTAACGGTTATACTAACCGCATATCCGTAGATTGTTTAGCTTAAGCCTAATCCCGGGATTTGGGCGTATACGTTCGTAAACGCCTAAATATACAGAGCAAAATGCGCAAGTGGTTCCTGGGTACGAAACCGTAACGATGGATTTATTTGACGGTGTTGTTCATGCTTGGTTATACAATGTTAAGTCTGGCTCCTCACGTGAAGGAATTCTTGGTTGTGTCAGTAATTTTATTGAACGGAGCTAATCAACGGAAATCAAGGTGTCCGGTCAAATGAGAGAATGTCGGTCAAGCTTTCGTAGTTTGCATTCATATTCATTGTCACTTTGACATGTATTCGGGAATATCTGGCGCCGATCACTACTGATTCAGAAGATGAGAAAAAAAAAAATGACATCAAAGAATTGGGTTAATAGAATCATTACTCGACAGTTTGCTTTTTTTATGTCCATTGGAATGTGTAAACAAAATTTTACAAAAGAAATCAGTTTTTTTTTTCTTTACGTCTTTCATTTTTTTCTTCTTTTCGTTTCTCTCTCTCTCTCTCTCTCTCTCTCTCTCTCTCTCTCTCTCTCTCTCTCGTTCTTTTTCGTTTTCTTTTCTTTAGCAAGAAGTGGTACAAATCTCTAGTAGTAACATTCCCGCCAATCGTAAGTGCCTCAGCTTTAAGGTTAATAAATAGTTTGCTCGGGATAACATTTTAAAATATTAGTAGTGAATTCGATCCTAACCCGGTGCCTCATATCTGTGACCTCGTACGAAGACTAAACTTACTAAATACAGCGGAGTGTCAAATACACGGTTTCGTTGGAATAAAAACCCTGGGCTCTGGAATGCTCGTAATCTAAATTAAGGAGTGTCAGAAAATTTTCAGAATATTTAATAAAAGAGGAAAATGTAACCAGGATGTTTCGGGTGTATTCTTGCCTACAAAAATAATAATCGCCTATTTGAATCTCAAAGGCAAATATATATATATATATATATATATATATATATATATATATATTACCTTTGAGATTCAAATATATATATATAATATTATAAATAAATTGATTTAAAATATGGTTTTTCCGCTACACAGTTCTAACCATGTTTCAAAAATGGAAGGTCCGAATTTAATTTTGTAATTAAATTAAAGACATTAGTTCCATTTCATCCTCAAGCGAATTTTGGAGTAACTTAAAAAATTACTGGGTTTTAAAGACAGCAAAAATCATAATTCACGTTTCCAAGGATACAGAGAAATTCATTTCAAACAGACAAGGGGTGTTTGCGTGTTCATTATCGCTGTATTTTGATGCATCAGTTATTAGTTACGTTTTGGTAGGGGTAGGGATGTATTTTTCAATGAATTCTGACATCCATTAAATGCATGTCTTCTGGATTTTTTTAAATTTTATTGTTAACGGCAAAAATTCTTACGGCATTTTTTCTATTTGTATATTTAAAGATTTGGGGGGTGTTTAGGTTCGAATACGTTTTATTTAACTACAATTTGAAAAATATTTTCACTTTTAATTTTAATATCATACTGTTCTTTTCTTTTTATTTAATATCTTACTGTTCTTTCTTTTTTCTATCTATCTATCTATCTATATATATATATATATATATATATATATATATATAGAGAGAGAGAGAGAGAGAGAGAGAGAGAGAGAGAGATTACAAAAAAAATGTAAGAATCGCTACACATTTGCTGTCGTGTTTCAACTCATAACAATGCGTCTCCTTAGGCGATTGTAAATTGTTGGTGAGTGAACGATTCAAAATTGAAATTGAATTTTACAATTTACAATCGCCTGAGGAGACGGATTGTTATGCGTTGAAACACGACTGCAATTGTGTAGCGATTCTTACATGTTTTTGTTGCAATATCATAAAATGAGCCCTCTTTTGAATTAAATGCTACGAACGTTGGTACTCTATTGTACTCTATTCGTTCTCATCGTACCTATATATATATATATATATATATATATATATATATATATAAGGTGTATTTATGCAGTAAGAATTCATCCAAACAAGTTTTATTGGATGACACCGGCAAGGTCTTTCTATTTAGATTTTTATATAGTTTTTCCAGTTATCAACTGATGTGTTTTACGTCTGGATTAAAATGTTAAAAGTTAACTTTCATACATTCGGGGTACAGTAGTGACAGTCGAATGTGCTCGAATGTATATTTCTAGCTGTTTAATCAGAATGAATGCTAATTGGAAGGAGTTACATCTTTTGATAATAACTGCAGAAGATAATGCTTTTTTACAAGATCTATTTTTCTGTCTGGAAAGTGATAACGACCTCGCCATTTAGATCACAGCCTGAGAGTAAACAAACTGAAGTAATGTCTGATGAGAAGTTAGCAATGCTGAGATTTTAAATCGTATATCTTAAAAATCCGACAAATCTAAATTTTCATTTAAACTCCTCCAATGATTTGATTATTTCCTATATAACACAAAAAAGAATACCTTACAGAATCCAGAAAGACCAAAAGGGAGCACAAATAATGTTCATAAAAATTGGCACATTATATTAACCAGCAATTCTATACTGACTAAAAATGTAAAGAATGTATTTAATCTAAATATAGTTTTTTTTTTTAGGGCTTTTCAACTCTCTACAGATTATTTAAAGCCAGATTTTTTTTTTTTTTTTTTTGTAAGATTGTTTAGGCGATAATAAGAATTTACTGATGTAAGTCTTAATAATTAACCCATAGATAGGTCAGCTGCTAAGAAAGTTGTTTCACTGTATCGTGCAAGACAATTTTATTACCGGAATCTATCTTACATATCTATAAGTCTACCATCCGTCCATGCTTCTCATCAGTTTACAGGTGAGCTGGCTAGATGTAGCCGTAAGTTCTATGCAAGCAGTTTCTTTTTTCGCTCTTCTTGCTCGTGGAACACCTTTCCGGCTCCATGCCTTAAAGGCAACTTTAATCTGCAATAATTTAAATGCCATGTCAATCACTATCTACTGTACCCGTGGTTACTCTTTTCACTTCCCGCTCATAAGTAATGTTTATGTTCTTAATTTTTCCACACCCTGTAACCCCTTACGTTTTAATGGCTTTCCTTCCTTGCTTGGAGTCATACCGATTAAAAAAAAAAAAAAAAAAAAAACTTTAAAGATGGCTACATAACATTCTCAAGGATATTTGTGCGTAAGTAACTATTGATTGAATGATTCATTCATTTTTTACGATTTATCAACTCTTTTTTCAGGTTACTAAAAGCCAGAAAGCATTTTTAGAGTGTAATATGTTTTTGGAGACAATAATGATTTAGTGATACTAGTTTTACTAATTAACCCATAGCTGCGGGGGGAGAAGAAATGGATTCATATATTTCCCAAGGATATTTGCGCGTAACTGAATATAAAGAACTCGACTATCTGATTAACAAGCCATTATCCATTACACTACCCGCGCGCATCCAAGTTTGCAGCACCTGGTATTTCCAAGCTGTCACCCAACTAGGTACTGACCAGGTTCGACTGTGCTTAACTTCAGTGATCGTACGAGAACCTGTGTTTTAACGTGATATGTCCGCAAGCCTGGGGCTACTATAAATTTTAATAAAACGAATATATGAACAAAGAAGAAGAAGAAGAAGAAGAAGAAGAAGAAGAAGAAGAAGAAGAAGAAGAAGAAGAAGAAGAAATATGATGAGAAGAAGGAGGAATAGAAAGAGAAAGAAGAAGAAGAAGAACGAGGAGAAGGAAAACGAAGGAGGAGGAGAATAAGAGGAGGAAGGAGGATGAGAAGAAGTAGGAGGAGGAGAAAAAGAAGGAGAACAAGAAGAAGAACAAGAAGAAGAACAAGAAATATGATGAGAAGAAGGAGGAGGAGAAAGAGAAAGAAGAAGAAGAACGAGGAGAAGGAAAACGAAGGAGAAGGAGAAGAAGAGGAGGAAGGAGGATGAGAAGAAGTAGGAAGGGAAGAAGAAGAAGAAGAAGAAGAAGAAGAAGAAGAAGAACAAGAACAACAACAACAACAACAAAAACAACAAGAATCAGGAGGAGGAGGAGGAGAATGAGAAAGAGGAAAAGAAGAAGAAGAAGAATGAAAAAAAGAAGGAGGGAGGAGAAGAATTTTTCTTAGTATAGCGGTAATTAACTTCTTGAAATATATATTTCTGGCAATTAAAACTTAAAAGAAAATATTTAAATTAGTTTTTTTTTTAAATTTTTTAATATTAAAATTTAATAAATAAATGAATACATTTATTATGAATTACACCAAATCAATTTTAATATTCAGTACGTTTTCTAGATAATACTAGCGTTAGAACTATTTTAGTTCTTCTCAAACGGAAATTGGTACCTTAGTCGATCATGCTTTAATGATCTTCCTGTAATCTTTCTGAATTGAATTTTATCTGGTCCGTTCTTGCAAGTAATGGCTATCCGCCAGATGGAGTGAAAAAAATCTTCTAAAAAAAAGTCGTCTTTTTTTTTTCCATTGATAAAATATTCGGGTCGTTCAAATGCCCAGTATATCCCAAATTATGTCGGTTGGGCAATGCCAGTCTTAAGTTGTCTCAACAAATTAACCACGTCGTTGCTGTGAATTTACGTCTGATATTTAACACACGGAAGGCCTTTTCTTTCATCAGCAAAGATAGTAATTTTTTTTTCATAAAAGACATGTCCTTTATTCCTTTACGTACCAGTGTGGTTCTAGTTACATTAGATGCACCTCACAGAGACCGAACAGCTTTCCACAACTTCCTACCCTTAGTAGCTCTTAGTAACTTTGTTTTTTTACAACGGCTACCTTTCTGTGACCAAGACGAGCCTTCAAGTTAGAAGACATTGGCTGTAATTTGACCCGGGAAAATTATGCGCTCGGCCAGGTCTACATGCTTAAGTCATGCGTTATTCATGAATGAGTACCTCGCCGACTTTCCATCCAGATATGTGAAGGGAATTTGTCAGGGACACAGCTGTGCAGCGACCCTACGACCTGAGCCGGTCATTTGAATAATATTGACGATGATTTCTTCATAGCCTGATAATGATTTTCTAATTGAGCAACACTAATTAGTTTCTTAACTGAGCAATCTCCGTCTCTTTAATTATGGATATACGGCCATATCACGTTGAAACACCTGTTCTCGCGCGATTCCCGAAGTTAAGCAATGTCGAACCTGGTTAGTACCGAGATGAGCAACCGCTTGGGAAAATCAGGTGTAAGCTTGGATGTGCGGGTGGTGTAGTAGATAATTGCTCGGAATGAGAAAAATGGAGAGTCGAGTTTCAGTTCCAGTCGTGTTCGTTATATTCACTTACGCTCAAATACCCTTAGGAAAGATAGGAATCCACATCTTCTCTCCCCCCTACTATGGGTTAATTAGTCGAACTAGTAAAACATTCTTGCAAAAAATATTTCTGGTTTTAAATAACCTGCAAAAAATCGTAAAAAAACAAATCTATCAATTTAGCTTCATTTAAGTATAAATCCACTTCTTCTCCGCTCCCCTAGCAATGTGTTAATTATTAAGCCTTGTATCATTAAATCATTATTATTTCAAAAATAGTCTTACGATCTAAAAATATTTTCTGGCTTTAAATAACCTGCGAAGGGTTGATAAACCGTAGAAAAGGAATCAGTCAATCAATTTTGTTTAGTTTTCGGTAATTGTCTTTTCGCTATTCCAATGACTCTTCGGATTTCTGAGTTACATTTTCCGTCATCTGTTAAAATATTTTCCAGATATTTAAACTTCTGTACTTGTTTGATTTTGACTTCTCCAATTCGTAGCTCAAATCTTGGCATTTTTCTTTTGCTGACATTTGACGTTAGCCCTTTCATCCCTCTTTCTTTTACTACCTTGGGTTATGTGTTGATTAGTACAATTTTTTCTCAGTAAATTATTATCTTCAAACAACCCTTACACTCTAAAAATATTTTCTGACTTCAAATAACCTGCAAAAGTTTGGCAACCCGTAAAATATCAATCAATCAATCTTCAATTATGTAACGTTGCGAATCACATTCTTTCTTTCTTTCTTTCTTTCTTTCTTTCTTTCTTTCTTCTTCTTCTTCTTCTTCTTCTTCTTCTTCTTCTTTCATTCTATCCAAGAAAAAGTTATTTTCCGAAATCTTTTCAGCTAACTTTAAAAAAATCTACTGCTCACCGTTTGGGTTAGAGTTTCTCCAAAGCTCATTTGACGGATTTGTTAAACTTTGCAAAAAGTAAGATGGATGGACATCGAAAAGCTGTTATACAAGAAGAAACGCTGAAATCAAGTATAGCTGAACATATACGGAGAGAAAAGGGTGATCACAATCTCTGTGGAATGAAGTCAAAACAATAGACAGAATACCACACTGAAGATAAGACAAATGAATTAGTGAGTGGACATGAGAGGCCCTAACAACCACTAAAGAAGAAACCCCGGATTAAGAAAGAAAAAAAAACAGCCAGGACTCTCATACAGGCCCATAACCTGAGTGTAAACATTAAGGTTAAGGCTCCAAAATTTCAAAACTAGTTTTCTAACAACTTGCACACTTATGAATCAACCATTCATCCGTTGCAGATAATGTTTATATACGTACATTATATATGTTCCAAAGGTTGTCATAATCGGGGGTGACAGTAGGGACAAACTTCCATTATCTATAAAATGCTTCTGTGCCATGCGTCTCAAATAACCTTTGGCAACTAAATTCAGCTCCAAGCTGGAGAATGGGCGAAAACAGAAAAAATGGCTGCTTCGGGTAGATGGAGCACGACACAAAAGGCAGTTCATCTAGGAGAAGGAAAACCTTAATTTTAAAACTGCGCTGCAAAGGCTATGGAAGGAAATACAGAGAGAAAACTTGGAGTGGAGCCCCGAAGGCTGTGGACTGTCAACATTGATAACTTTACGGAAAAAAATCTTGAAGTAGAAATGGTGGTTGCATTTAGTTTATTTCAACAGTAAAAGGGTGGGACCTAGTTGCCAATCTAGTAGCATGCTTAAATTCATGTAGTCGTGGCACCAGTAAAAAAAAGTTCATTAGATCAGTTGCCATGAAAATATTTGTAGAAAAACTGAATGAAGCCACGTCACGTCGATGAGAAAGTGACTGAAGTCGAGATACCTGATTAGGATCGATTACATTACAGATCTTTCTTTGGATAATAATAATGCTAATTCATCTAAAACATTTCGGCATAAATAATGAAAGAAGGCAGGAGAGTACAGCGGCCAAAACGTAGTTAGTATAACAACTAAGGTGGGCATGCTCATCAGTATAGGAAAGCATTTAATAGAATTATTCTTATTTGATCATCAAATCATCACACACCGGCATGTTTTTCGGAGTTATTTTTCATCCTTTATATTTTCTGCCTATTAAACTAGTTTTAAGAGCGCTTCTGTTTCCTCAATTAAAAGAATGAATATTGAAGTGAATTAAGCGAATACCAAAACAGGAAATGGACAGGAATAAGCACGAAAACAATAACATATAATTAGTCGCAATGCTACTTATGTTATTAGAAAGTCAAGTGTGAAGCAGTTCACAGGTCGTTGGAAAAGTGATGTGTTATGGTGTTCTATTTAAAAGCTTTCTATTGTTTTCAATTAAAATGAGAAAACCATGTTAGATTTCGATGTGCGAGGTGCCGTAATGGTTAAAGACACGGGGAAAATTCAAATTCCATTTATCACGTATTGAGAATATTGTTCGAAAATAATTGTTCGAAAACTATTATTCGAAAAAAAAAACATTTTTGTTTTTTGTTTATAGATGCTTTCTTCAAATAAATTCATTATCTATTAAAAAAATATATTCGAGTTTTTCTTTATTTCTAACGAAATTAAAAAAAAACATTACTTAATTCTTTCATGGTCTTCCACTTGGATAACCATTCATTCTTCTATAGATTCTAAGTATCTTTGAAGACCGGTTGTTGTAGTTTTGTAAGACAATTTTTTGCATTATTTTGTACGTTTATTATTATTATTATTATTATTTGCGTATGTTATGTTTCCTTCTTTGTATCTTGTAAAGCCGGATCTAAACTATGGTCCTTAGGCCCTATATGAGAATTGTTATTCAATTGATAGCACTTTTCTTAGTATATGGATGTTCCTAGTAGGGCGATTTTCTGGGCAACTTGTATGTTGATGTTACCTGGAACACTGTTAGTAAAACTGTTCATTCCTTTTCTTACGAAGCCCAGAGCTCCGATTACTACAGTCTCACTCTTCATTCCTCACATCCTCTTAATCTCGATCTCCAAGTCTTTGTATTTGGATAATTTCTCGATAATTTTCATGGAGTTGTTTCTCTCAGATGGTACTGCTGTGTTAATAAACATACAGTTCCTGAATTTCTTGTCTTTTATGATAATATCGGGTCTATTAGCTGTTATTTCCCTGTCAGTTTGAATTGGTATAGACCAGAAGATACATCCTCATTTTGGGTAGAGATTTTCCAAGCGTAGCTTAGATGTGGCACAAGGCCGAAAGTAAGGGGCATCCAGTGAGGATCGAACACACTTTTCAGTAGTAACTGATCTAGCAAGACAAGCTGGCTAACCATTACACCACGCCGAGGTGCCCTAGTGATTTTCTAAGCGTAGCTTAGATGTGGCACAAGGCCGAAAGTATGGGGCACCCAGTGAGGATCGAAATCACGACTCAGTTGTAATTGTTCTAGCAAGACGAGCTTGCTAACCATTACACCACGCCGAGGTGCTTCATCAACATTTTGGGTAACTGTGCCTGGTCGGTGCTCATGCCATCTCTCAATGGTTTCGATTTTGGGCTTCTTGCATATCTTCCAGTGTACATATGTCGCTACCTTGTTATATGTGTGGGTATATTCTTTTTTTGCTGTGGTATCATCTTGCCAAAGAGTAATTTTAAGTGCCTAATTACCCTAGTTCCCTCCAGGCTCTATGCGTGAAAAGAGCACCGCAGGAGAATTATCTATGCTCATTTATAATGTTTCGTTTAGATGGAGAGAATTTTTGTCGCTCTGGTATGTTCAAGAATTTTACTCACCCTCGTCATCCCCTCCACGGCTGTGAACCTATGACAAAGAAGCTAAAGTCAAAACACACCTTTCTACACTCATCCGAACCACTGAACAACAGAGATCCTAGTCAGCGTCTCTCACTGTGGTGCAGTCAACCTTAACGGCATGGAATATAGCCTCTCTCTCAGCCCTATAGAATCCCACCTGGCTCCAGGGACACCTGACCCTTTTGATCTTGCCTAAATCGCCCCCGAACAGCTGTAGAGCCAACCTCCAGAACTGGGGATATGCCACAGATAATGATCCCAACGGCCAATGCGGGAAATCACAAAATATGGAACATCTAGTTTGACCTAATCTTGAAGATCCACGCACACTTAACGGCCTTGACATCTTAACACCCCAGGCAAGGCTCTGTGTGCAGCAAAGGATGGGTGTGATGTCGCGACTTGATAAGAAGAAGAGGTACACTTCTTTATCATATCTAATATCCCCCATCACAAAAGGGATAAACGTAGTTTTAAGTTTCCACATTTTTGTTACTTCGATTTGCAGGTCCTTATTATTTGACAGTTTTTGAAATTCATTTTTTTTAGAAACATTGGAATCCTGTGAGTTAGTCATATTAATTAGTTGGCAGGTTATTTTTTATGACTATGTCTAGCCTATTTGCATCAATTTTCCTGTTTGTAAGGATTGGGAAATTCCACTATATAGTTACTCTATCACTATTCCGGTAGTGTTTGTACAGTGCATCTGGGACTTCAATATCATAATCTGAACTTCCATGCCAATGAGTATATTGCTCTAGTCTGTCATTAATAATGTATCCCTTCTCAACAAGGATTGGACATTCTGATACTATGTGGTCAATAGTTTCATCAAAAGTATGGCATAAGGGACAGGTGGGATTTGAGCCATGTTTGTTGATTTTAGACTTGTAGGCATTCGTTGGAAGATATTGGTCTTGTGCTAACATAATAAGGACTTCTGTCTCCCCCTTAAGAGCACTGCTTCTAATCTATTAGGTTTGGTGAGCATCGAAGTCTGGTTCATCCAGACACTTTAGGTACTTTCTATACAAGGATTTACATCTCCATTTTTTTTCAAGAGTCTTCATATAAACAGCTTTCGCTAGTAACTTAATTTTCCTTGCTGTAGCAGTGGGAGATTCATGTTATTTGTCCCCTTGAATATCTATTACATCTAAGGAG